ACACTTGACACTTAAATTTAAAATTTCTGTGATGATTGTTTTCTTTTAATAGAAAAAAAGGGCAAAAATACTAAACAGTGTAAAAATATGTAAGGCCTAAGACAATTTGGACTTGACCTGCATTTGCTACAACCTTGTGACCTACATTTCCAGATATCATTATTGGTATCAGTGGAACTGGCAATGGAACATAATTTCCTACAATCGTTAGTTTCTGTGATAATGCAGAAATCAAAGGATGTTATTATGATTTGAAACCTCAGATTGACTAGATGAGAACAGTCTATTTTTGAGACTTCTAATTGTCTGGAGTAGTGTTAATTGACTGACTTACTCTCGACATTACCCTGAGTAGCGAATTCTCTGTCCTTTGGCAATGTAATATCCCTACTATGACAATGTAATATCCCTACTAAGACAATGTAATGTCCCTACTATGTCATTGTAATATCCTGACAATATACTATCCCTACTATGACAATGTAATATCCTGACAATGTAATGCCCCTACTATGACAATGTAATGGCCCTACTATGACAATGTAATGTCCCTACTATGACAATGTAATATCCCTACTATGTCATTGTAATATCCTGACAATATACTATCCCTACTATGACAATGTAATATCCTGACAATGTAATGTCCCTACTATGACAATATACTATCCCTACTATGACAATGTAATATCCTGACAATATACTATCCCTACTATGACAATGTAATGTCCCTACTATGACTATGTAATGTCCTGACAATGTAATGTCCCTACTATGACAATGTAATATCCTGACAATATAATGTCCCTACTATGACAATGTAATGTCCTGACAATATAATGTCCCTACTATGACAATGTAATACCCTGACAATGTAATGTCCCTACTATGACAATGTAATGTCCTGACAATGTAATGTCCCTACTATGACTGTGTAATGTCCTGACAATGTAATGTCCCTACTATGACAATGTAATGTCCTGACAATGTAATATCCCTACTATGACAACGTAATATCCCTACTATGATAATGTAACATCCCTACTATGACAATGTAATATCCTGACAATATAATATCCATACTATGACAATGTAACATCCTATGGAATAATATCCTTACTATGACAAAGTAACATTCTGAATCAGAAAGCAGTTAAACTGGATAAACATTATTAGTTACCAATAAAGGTCAGGTTTACATGCATGGTATTTTTATATGAGAGATCATGTCCTTGAAAGTCTTATAGCTTTCATTGGGATATCACTTCATGACAAATACTTGACACACATTTGTAAAGGAGTCATGTCTTCACTACAAAGACCATCATAAACAAATGCACACCACCCAACACCAGGCTTTAACTTAATTAACATTTTATTGTATTCATGAAAACTGTATACAATTCAATATTTAGGCTATATACAAATGATAACTTATAATTATGCATGATTGATGAAACCTTGATGCACTAAGAGTAAAAACTTGAGCTTCAGAAACAATTTGTGTCTGAACATTATAAAACTCAGATTCGAGACTTCTCATTGCTGTGTGAATGCTGCTCAGATTATCAACGCGGTCTACTCCCATTTGTGAGAACTCCCAGTTGTGAGACAGTGGAGTAGGTAATTAGCAAAGAAAACACACCTTACTCCCCTATCTGATAGAATGGATTAACCCCAGCTAATTATGGATTAGCTATTTAACTGAATCTGGTGGAGGTAACTTAATGAAACTCTAAAAGATAAAGTAATTAACCTACTCAGGTAAATGGCTTTAAAAAATAAACACTTTGTGTAGGTAACTTCGTGATCATTTGAAAGAGAAATTGATTTACGTACTCAGATTTACGTGTTTGAAAAATCTAGCAATAACTGTTGCAACTATAATTAATCCAAATGTATTTATTAACCTTTGACTGCTCTTTCCGATCACCATTATGGCATGGTATTTCAGTATCTATTGAAAACAATAAATGCTCTTCAATGCTTAATGTCTTCTTTGTTAATTAACTCATTAATGAACTATGCCTCCTCCGGGTACTCTTCAGCAACAGGGCTGTTCCCACTTTCATCGTAGGGATGGGGAAGCACCACCTGTGTGCACTGAACCATTAATTAATGTGTCTCACAACTGGGAGTTCTCACAAATGGGAGGACACCATCAACGCAGCATGTAACTACACCAAGCCAGAGAAACAAATTAATCATTTATGTGATTTATCCACTGCTACACTCAAGCATGCTTTAGCACGGACGTATGTCGTACAATGGTGGTATAGGAAACAGGGACGTGCCATTTTCAGGGCCAAATCATAGTCCAAGATGGGAGGTAATTGAGGGCCTAAACCTGGGCTAAAAAGGGCATGCTACTGTTCCCCTTCTCCCTCGCTACTTACAATCTATGTTACATTAAGTATAATTTATTACTATTCAAACGATTACCATTTGAATTTGCCTTGTTACTTTTCAAGTAAATTGACCATTCCTTACATAGATTAAAGTATAAATGCAGTAAAAATACATGATTAAATTAAACTACCTATGTGTATCAGTAACTAAAAACTAAATGGTTGAGACTAGATAAATCCAATGTCCGACACTGATTCAACCTATCTAACTGATTTTGCAAACATGCTAATATATTTTTGCTAACATTAACCTGTATCCAAAATTCACTCACTAATATAAGACACAAGGTACATCATGTTTTTTCACTATGTGTAATATCTGTAATAATAATAATAATAATGCTAATTTTTGCACCTAGAATCCAACACGATGCTGCTCTCTGGCATTACATTATTACCATGACGGAATTGTAATTTCAAAGCGCTACTAAGCACTTCACGCAATTGTATAGGTCCGTACATCCGCTTTCAGGTACCCATTTTGAACAGCTGGGTGGACTGAGTGCAATGTGGACGAAGTGCCTGGGACACAACACAGTATGAGACCCAGGTCACAAATTTTGGTGTCTCCATTGGGATTCGAACTGGGGCCTTTGGCGTGAGAGGCCAGCATGCTAACCACTACACCACTGTGCTCCACTGTGTAGACTTATTCTGAATAATAAAACAGTTCCATACAAATCCATCCACATCATTCTATTCTCAGGCTCATCACCGTAAGGCATCACTTCTCTTGAATATAAAATATATTCATAGCACCATCACAAGATCTGACAAGTATTTCTGTGCATCTTTGGTTCTGGATAAAGAGTGAGTGAGTGAGTTTGGTTTTAAGCCGCTTTTAGCAATATTCCAGCAACATCACGGCGGGGGACACCAGAAATGGGCTTCACACATTGTACCCATGTGGGGAATCGAACCCTGGTCTCTTGGCGTGACAAGCCAACGCTTTAACCACTAGGCTACCCCACCGCCCCTCTGGATAAAGACTAAATTCACTGATCCCAGGTATAAACTTGAACTTTGTGGTATTTAAAATCAGATCTTTAATTCTAAGATAATACCTCTATGAATGATGATCAGACAATCCTTCACCAGAAGGTCACATCAGGTCAGTTTCTTATCAGCAAGTCTGAGCCAGATTCAAGCAAGGAAGCTTTCAGAGTAATGCATCAGATTTATACAGAATAATGATTTCTGACAGGTTGATAATAAAATTGATTATATATGATGGGTAGATTTCCGCCCTTCTGATTGGCCTACTTGGTCACATGACAACTTTGACGCTAAACGATGTCAACCTCAGCACGTCGTGGGAGGTTGATATAACAATCCAAGCACCTCCCATAGCTAAAAATAGAGTTGGGATATTCCAGCTGTGAACTCCACACAGCATACGTCACGCTAGACAAGGAAGCGATAGAGTTACGTCCCATCTATATCCAAATGGCAGACAACACGACACCACGATGATTCGTGAATGTGTCAGTATTCAGTACTTTTATTATATAATAAAACAATTATTGACTTCAGTTCGGTTGATCCAATGATTTATCGACCTTCAATAAAGTCAATACACTGCAATATATATATCAATACCCTTGTCACTGCTGAGCACTACGGCATGTAAGCCACAATGAGTGTACTACATGTACCAAGGGAATATTTGTCCTGGGATTTCTTCTGTTGAGACTTGAATTCTGAATCTGGGTGGTAAAGTCTGACACCCAATCATTTACAAAGCTGACCAATTATAAAGATTACTGGTTCAAGAACCTACTCTTTCCTTTAGATTGGGTGGTCAAAGATGCTCTGGTTGCACCAGATGTGATCTCCTACAGAGTTGTTCTGAAACCTTTGTGTACAGGAATATTGGATTGGATTTAAAGATTTTCATGACATTTTGGCAAGCTCATATTCATAACATATCCCTGATCATCCAATCTTCCTCTTGATGACAGCTCTCTTGGCTTCTTTTCCCCTCATGCCTTAGACTTCTGTCTTTGCTTCTTCTACATCACACTCTCAGTTCACATTTCTACACTTCTCCAACCATTCATTCTACCCAACTCCATAGATTCCTTTCACCACCCCTACAGCTTTCTCCCACAGCACCTCATTTTACCACCAACCCGGTTATCCTGTTTCTCTCATCACCTTCAGCTTTCTCCCCAACCCCCCATTTTACCTTCAACCTGGATATACTGTTACTCTTCATCACCCTTGATGGGTCTCGATCCTTATTGTTTGGTCTGCATTCTAGAAGTTGGTGATCCTCCCTTAATTCACCCAAGCCTGCCAGTATGAGTTCCCCCTAAGCTTTCCCTTTTCCTCCTACTCTTTTATTCTCTAACACACACACACACACGCTTTCCCTCCACACTTTTACACCCCCATATGAGTTCCCCCTAAGCTTTCCCTCCTACTCTTTATTCTCCCCCACCCCACCAGTATGAGTTCCCCTAAGCTTTCCTCCTACTAAGATTAACCTTAACTCCCATTCTTTAACATTGCACTAAGGTTACCTTAGTGACTGAGGATCACCTTAGTGCTTTGTGAAAGGAGGCCCAGGTCTCATGTTCCCCCTCCCCCTCAGTCCCACTCCCCCTCATCCCTCTCCTCCCCATCTTCATCCTGCCTGTTCTCCACTGGAGGCTCCACAGGCTGGATGTTGTTCAACAAGTCCCGCATGGCATCCATCAACACGCCAATGCCTCTTCGCAAATTGTTCCCTTCTGGGTTATCTCCCCCTGCAGCGCCCTCTGCAGCTGGAACTGCTGCTGGGGCTGGATCCGGGTCCTGGAATAAAGTGGCACTGATTATGAGCATGGTGAGAGTGAAAAATGAAAAATGTTCTGAAATGAATTGAATAGTATTTCAGTAACAGTGAGTGAGTATGGTTTTACGCTGCTTTTAGCAATAATCCAGCAATATCATGGCAGGGGACACCAGAAATGAGCTTCACACCTTGTACCCATGTGGGGAATCAAACCCGGTCTTCAGCGTGACAAGTAAACGCTTTAACCACTAGGCTACCCCACCGTCCCATTAGAGTTACAGCATTATTCACTTATCAGTATTATACCTCAACCTGGAAGTGACAAAGATGGAAGTGAAACCAATAAGACTTCTTCTGAACTGCTTTAAACTATATTTCATTAACATTATTCACTTATCAGTATTATAGTTTAACATTTGAATCTGAGCAAGCTGGAGGTGACAAAGACAGAGATATGGAGCCTAAAAGCACAAGAATAATGAAATATGACAAAGAATATGAAAGGGAGAAAATCAAGATTCACAGCTTATCCTGACACATCTAAGGGACACTAGACTGCTTTAGCACCAGTTTGGTGAAGAAATACAACATACAACATATCCAAACAAAAAGAACTTTCTTTTCAACACATCCACACTCTTAATTGCAAAGCAACTGTGCCAGTAGGGCAAGGCTGCTAAAGGACAAGGCTGCTAAAGGACTTATGAAATTATTCAAGGACTCAGAAACATGGTAGGACATTTTCAAGTTTGGTGAAACCAACAAATAAAGTGCATGAGTGAGTGAGTATACTTATACGTTGCGTTTAGCAATATTCCAGCAATATCACGATGGGGACACAAGAAATGGGCTTCACACATTATACCCATGTGGGGAATCGAATCTGGGCCTTTGGCGTCACGAGCGAACGCTTTAACCATTAGACAGCCCCACCACCCATACAAGTATAATCGGGGAAACTGGGATTCAAACCTCAAATCATTGATTTCAAGAGGGAGTGAGTGAGGTTGGATTTACACCACTTTTAGCAATATTTCAGCAATATCACGGAGGGGGACACTAGAAATGGGCTTCACACATTATACCCATGTGGGGAATCGAATCCGGGCCTTTGGCGTCACGAGCGAACGCTTTAACCATTAGACAGCCCCACCACCCATACAAGTATAATCGGGGAAACTGGGATTCAAACCTCAAATCATTGATTTCAAGAGGGAGTGAGTGAGGTTGGATTTACACCACTTTTAGCAATATTTCAGCAATATCACGATGGGGACACTAGAAATGGGCTTCACACATTATACCCATGTGGGGAATCGAATCCGGGCCTTTGGCGTCACGAGCGAACGCTTTAACCATTAGACTACCCCACCACCCATACAAGTATAATTGGGGAAACTGGGATTCAAACCTCAAATCATTGATTTCAAGAGTAAGTGAGTGAGTTTGGATTTACGCCGCTTTTAGCAATATTTCATGAAGAAATACAACATACAACATGTTCAAACAAAAAGAACTTTCTTTTCAACACATCCACACTCTTAATTGAAGCAACTGTGCCAGTAGGGCAAGGCTGCTAAAGGACTTATGAAATTATTCCAGGACCAGAAATACGGTAGTACATTTTCAAGTTTGGATTCAAACCAACAAATCAAAGTTCAAGAGGGAGTGAGTGAGGTTGGATTTACACCACTTTTAGCAATATTCCAGCAATATCACGATGGGGACACCAGAAATGGGCTTCACACATTATACCCATGTGGTGAATCGAATCTGGGCCTTTGGCGTCACGAGCGAACGCTTTAACCACTAGACAGCCCCACCACCCCTACAAGTATAATTGGGTAAACTGGGATTCAAACCTCAAATCATTGATTTCAAGAGGGAGTGAGTGAGGTCGGATTTACACCACTTTTAGCAATATTTCAGCAATATCACGGCTGGGGACACCAGAAATGGGCTTCACACATTATACCCATGTGGGTAATCGAATCAGGGCCTTTGACGTCACGAGCGAACGCTTTAACCACTAGGCTACACCACCCCTACAAGTATAATCGGGAAACTGGGATTCAAACCTCAAATCATTGATTTCAAGAATGCCCAAAGGGATGCAACTATGCAGATAAAACTGTGGCACCTCAGACAACTGGACCAAATGTGAAACTCCTATATGTAGCATTCACACAGATGTACACTTACATTGGGGTTGTAGTTGGGCAACAAAGACCTGAGGAAGAGCGAAAGTGAGCTGCCTCCTTGCTCCCCTCTTCGACCCCTGAAACAGACAGTAATTGTACATCACTACCTTTAATAGAAACTATCAATATTTTAAGCATTTACATACATTTATACAAAATCAATCAACAGTCAAAGCTACCATTTCCCAAAGTATGAGAAACTGGTGTTATTCTTTCCATGCTACTTTCCTTTGTGTCATGTTTCTGTAGCAATTCTGTTATCCATCCATAATTATCACTTGCCATGATTCAGCTGTAAATACTTTACATTCAAGAGGGATCTTGTGGACCTAATAGTGCTTACATCAAGCTCGGAGTCATGCACACATGGGATTACTTCAAATAACTTTAGACTTATGATAAAGTCACCTTGACTTAACAGAAAACCTGCAAATTACCATAAACAGTCAGCAATAGACTAACATCTATAGGTATTTTACAGAAAATCATTGGTTTCTACATATGTTGATAGAATACAATAAAAGGAGCACAGAGACTTTCTTCATTTTCAGCCTGAAACTGTTGTAATCTGGACTTGCCACACATTCTAGACTTGCATGGTTTGCATTGGGTATATTAGTTTCAGGGTCTGTATGACAGACTAAGTCAGCAACTTCTCACTTTGTTCTTAGCTCACCTGACTTGTCGTTCATAGGTTGTTACAGCATCATGAGGAGGCAGAGGGTCGTAGCTCAGAATTGGAGATGTCGTCAGTTCCTGGAAGTAAGGACATTCATCAACTTGTGACTGTAAACCCTCATGAAAATATCCTGCCATTGTGGCCCTGTTGTGCAGTGATACATAATGTTGGCACTACTGATACAATGACGTTACTGTACACTGTGAGTGTGAGTGAGAGAGGGATTACAGGTACAGACCATATACACACATTAGGGCTGCGCAATACAACCAGTTTACCGGTATTTACCGGTTCAGACATGAAAACGATACGTATTGCGATACGCTGATCGAAAACCGGTATTTTGACTTGCATTTGGAAAACTTCGTAACACTCGGAAATCTTCGGATATGTCCTTGTTTCATTTGTGCCAAATATTATTCACATTTTTATTTTATCATGATTAAAAGTTGTTATTAAAGCTTAATCAAGCCTAGTGATTTTGTTGTGTTTTCGCTCTATAAATCAAGAAGTAACTCCATTATAAGTAGTTTTTTGTTTAAAAATACTTCATGCAATATATTGCAATACATATCGCAATACATGCTTTCGCATCGCAATATATCACAATATGAAAATTCTCTGCAATACCCACCCCTAACACACATACATGGGTGTGGCAGTTAGCCGATGTCAGGTAATGTCTTATGAGGTGTTGGGTTCTTTAAAGAATAATGTCACGACACTGGAGTAGACAGAAAAGTTTCTCTTCCACTAGACCAGCCATATTTATTCGGGACAATCTGCATGTTACATAACTGCATAGGATAGTGCTTACCTGTAGTTAATAGCATTAAGCAAAGGGATGTCTGTTGGCCTATCATTATTTTTAACTATTGCAGTTACAAACAAGATGTTGTCACTAAGGTGGCACAATCCCCCGCCACAAATTATCAAATCAAACTTAAAAAGTAACAAAAGTGAAGGTCGTAGTTTCCTTAAGATGAAGTCAAATGTCAACAAAAACATGACCAGTCTATCTTGATATCTTGCTCTGTAGCTGTTCATACACAGAAATATTTTCAAGACTCACTATGACCTTGACATGAATGTCATGGTGTATGAAATATGCAAAAAAATAGTAGTAAAGAAATTGCTTATCAAAAAATATTCATGAGAAGTCTTGAAAGTCTATGAAGAAAATCCAGTGAACCGTTCTTGAGATATCATGCTGAAATCTTCAAAGTGTCGGTGTGACATTAAAAATTAAGGGAAGGTCACCAAAATCGACTGGGACCTATGCCTTCCCTATATGAAGCTTGATGTCAAACTTGGGGAAAATCCAGTGAACGGTTCTTGAGATATCTCGCTGACAAGGGTAAAACATTAAAGTCCCCATGTGACCTTGAAATTAAGGTCAAGGTCACCAAACCTGACTGGGACCTTTCACATACTGTGATGAACCTAAGAATGAAAAGAATCTAGTCAACGGTTCTTAAGATATTCCAAATCGGACATACGGATGTATGGACAGACAGAGCCTAATACTATATCCCCCGTTTGGCGTTAAATGTGTGGTGGGGGATAATAACACATGAGATCAGTCAAGCATAATGTCAGGGAATGTCTCTCTATCCATTGATATACTTACTGGTGGAAGTTCAGCTGTGGCATCCTTGATCTCAGACACGATGATGTGCCGGTAGATGTTACGTGGTGTGCCTTGGTACCGAATACTTCGCCTGTAGATCAGATGATATCTTTGAAATGTTTCATTTATGTCCTCCAAAATAATACAATATCGTTCAATACAACCATCTCTAAGATTTATCATGGAAATCTACATTGTGCTGAGGAAAAGGTACCGTGCTTGCTATTATATCACACTGATGTTGTGAAGTCTTGCCAAATTAACATTCTAAGGATGTATTATCAGAGATATTCTAACATTGCATTTGAACATTAGATCCAAAATCAGCCTCTGAGCAGGTCCTGATAAATCCCTGCATTTCATCTCTTTTACTTATCTTTTGCAACACATGAAAAGGATGAAAATTCAAAACATGACTTCTTAATAAAATCTGATCCATGTCCCTCTCTATTAATTCATAATACAAAATCCTTTAAAAGAGGTTTAAGTTAATCTGTAATTTAATCTCGTCTTTTATTTAAGGGGAGTGGCGGTCAAGTTTTTCATGCACTAATCCCTTGAAAATAATGACCCTCTCCAAATGCTAGTAATATTTTTAGCTGACCCTCCCTATGTCCTTGTGTACCATATATTAAACAATAAAGTGTCATTTTTTCCCAGTACTCTTTAGGGGCGGTGGGGTAGGTTAGTGGTTAAAGGGCTCACTCGTCACGCCGAAGATATGGGTTCGATTACCTACATGGGTACAATGTGTGAAGCCTATTTCTGTGTCCCCTGCTGTGATATTGCTGGAATATTGCTAAAAGTGGCATATAATTAAACTCACTCACTCTCTATTCTCCACTGTAGCACAGGTTTACATAATTTGCATTTCTTTCAGAACTGAGTATATGATAAATGACTCATTATGTCAATATAGTTTACAAGACATAGTACATACACTATTCCAATAATATACTACACACAATCAAATAATTCCCAATCATACCCTTTTCAATACACTGTAAACGACTTGTACACATATGGTACACGAGTTATTGATCACACAATTCCTGCCTCAGTTTGTGCGAGAGGCAATGTGTATAGCACAGGTACCAGGTGTTACCTGTAATCAATACAGGTATTGTGTTTGTTTACCAGGTCTCCTGGCTTTCTGAAAGGCTTGGAATGACTCCTGAAACATCTTGACACACTAGTATAAGCCTCCATAGCTCAGTGGTTAGAGCACTGGTCTTGTAAACCAGGGGTCGTGAGTTCGATCCTCACTGGGGGCTGAATTCATTTTTTTTAAATATGTAATTTTTACGAGGATTTTTGAACAGGATGAATTTTGTAATTTTTACATTACAAATATACTTGGCTTATTAAAATTATATCTAAATATTATAAAAAAATTCTAGGAGCATGTCTTTTCTGTATCCAATAGTACTATTCTTTAAACAAAATACCATCTATTTTTAGTTTAACTACTCCTTGAAGCTTAGTACAATTCCTTAATAGGAAACAAACCTGTCTTTCAACTTCAAAGAAATTAATATTTCATCAATGGTTATTTCACTGAAGCTAAAGAACAAATATCACACAAGCATTTGAGTTGTGGTTACCATGGTTACAAACCTGCATACAATACCGGAATATTGCACTGTCCATATTTAATAAAACAAGGGTTGAGATAAGGTGCTGCAATTTGTAGTGGAAGTTACATTATTTACAAATGTCAGAATCCTATTTGGGTGTTTGAAACCAAGTTTCAGGCTTACTATGATGCTTGGTTTGATAGCACCATAACCTGACGACCCTGCTTCTCTGTTGATCTCAATAAAACCAGCATCAACATGGGTTTTCCTGCCCCATTACGTTATCATTTGCTGTTATTCCGAAATTTTACACCTCCCAGCAGCAATAATCACCCATCCTCTTGATCAATCTATAAGTAATATCTACAACAGCCCTTAATAAGACTGGTACCACTTCTGTCGCGAAGTTTGTGTTGTTGTGGCAGATTCTGACAGTGATAGGATCGGTGGGGAGGGAAGAATAGTGGAAATTGACGAATCAAAGTTTGGAAAAAGAAAATTTAATAGAGGAAAAAGGGTTGACGGTCAGTGGGTTTTCGGGGGAATCGATCGGGAATCCAAAGACTGTTTTTTTGCATGTGTGGACAAGCGTGACTCTGAGACACTAATTCCAATAATAAAGAAATACATCAAACCAGGCACCACAATAATAAGCGATTGTTGGAAAGCCTATGACTGCTTGAAGCATGAAGACTTTCTCCACTTGAAAGTGAATCACTTTCGATCCATTTCAAGGACCCCGAGAGGCGGAGCACATACTAACACCATTGAGTCCTCTTGGGGTGCTTTGAAAAGATCTCTTCCACGATCAGGCACTACTAAGGGGTTGTATTCTTCATATTTTGAAGAATTTTGTGTAAGAAGGAAGTACTTAAGTAACAGGGAGGACATGTTTATAGCTTTCTTGGAGCTTATCAGTCGTGTATATAAACCCCATGACAGAGATGATGAAATTGTGCATGTGAGACGCCCCTTCGCTCCCCTGCAACCCGATGCTGACGACAGTGCTGACGATTTCGTTCTGTGAAGGTAAGCATCATATCTAATGTCTAATCTAACCCTAAACCCTAACCCTAAACCCTAATCTAACCCTAAACCTAAACCCTAACCCTAAACCTAAACCCTAAACCCTAATGTCGAGTATGCAACATAAAGAAAACGCCGTTACTAAGGAACTCAGTTGCGCACATTTTGTGCGCAGTTATAAAATAAGCTTTCAAAGATGGCGGAAGGTATCCGGTATTCTGTAGTCTTGCCTTTTTATTGTTTGTTCATGGTTTTATTATGCAACCCAAATGCAAATTTGTTTAATTCAATTTTATAGCAAACAGATATACTCCTCTAGTACTGCTAAGCCCAGAACAAAGTGATGGCCTTACTTTTGCCTGGCGTCCTCAACCAGCGGGTCCTTCCTGTCCACTCTCGACAACACCTCCTTCACATTCCTCTCCAGCCAGGTCATAGCATCAGGCTCCTTCCAACAGGAGAAGCTCCGCCCGATGTACAGGGCTATCAGCTGCTTCAGCGCCACCGTCTGACTGTCAAATAGAAGGATGATATTTGTTGTGTTAATCTCACCACAATCGCCTGAAGTGTTCAGCAGCAAAACTGGTCTTATAGTCCCTGCTAACTACAGTAAATACCAAAACACAGTAGCTTAACTATCTCGTTTCCGAATAAACATTGAAAAACGCTGGCGGAATTTGATGAAATACTTTAAAATGGTTTTGTTTTGATCTTAAGGTTTTTATAGTTGGTGTCAGAATTAAAGATTTTAGTATCATGATATGTATCGTATTGCCACCCTTATATCGGGATTCGCATCAGATTGCAGCTTCAGTGCACAATACTTTAGCAATATATCGTCATGACTAAAATTTTAGTATCATGATGTATCGTATCGCAGGTTGTATGCCAATACCAGCACTACTGGCATTAACTACTCACCTGTTCTGTGCTGCCGGCCCAAAAAAATGGATGTGATGTGACAGCACTATCTGGGTTGACACTGCACTTGTCCAGCAGTGGCAACAGGATGCCCGGAAACATGATCAGGCTGGACTGAAGCTACAAACAACCACACAGTTTGTAATGTTTAAACATCTTGTCACAAAGTATAACCTCCCTCAGGGTTCTACTAGGCAGATACCACACAGTCTTTTTATCCACAACTAGTCCCACTAAAGAGTGTGGACATTGGAATGATTAAACCAACTAATACTGAAGCATGGAAGACTTATAAGATAGAATAGAATAGAATAATACTTGAATGCCTTTTCAGGAATTTGTGTTACATCAGCAGAGCTACTGACACATTAGAGAGATACCAAACATATTTACATAAGTTCTTTGATTTAGGTATCTTCATATTTGTTTAAGAGAGATATGGTACTTGGAATAAAGGATGTACGGTCTCTCTTAGTTTTCACAATTGGAACTTTGTAGCGGCGGCCTGAAGGGAGGAGGTTGTATTCCAAATTTAAGTAGTGAGTAGGGTCAGATATGATTTTGACAGCTTGATTCACGATTTGCCGCTCATATATTGATGATAAACATTCAAATCTGCCTCCAGCGATTTTACTTGCAGTGTTAACAATTTTGTCTATTTTAGATTTGAGATGAACTGAGAGAGACCCATACCAACAATGAAAGGAAAATGTTAAAATACTCTGAATAAATGCTACATAAAAAGATGACATCACAGGTGGGTTAACATTAAAGATCTCAGTTTACGCATTAGATGAAGACGTTGTTGATACTTTTTGTATAGGGCTTCAGTGTTAGAGTTCCAGTTCAGCTTAGAGTCAATGAAGGTTCCCAGATACTTATACTCCGACACTGTCTCAACACATTCACCGTTGATTATCACTGGAAGCATTTCTGTGGGTTTACTCCGAAAGTCAATTATCAGTTCCTTTGTTTTTGTGACATTTAAGAGTAAGTGGTTTTCTGCACACGAAGTCGTCAAATGATTAATGTCCTCTTTATACAGTTCTTCAGAATCAGTGTCGTTCAGTTTGCCGACAATTGCTGCATCATCTGCAAACTTTACAGTTGAACAGGTTGAATTCGAGCTTGTACAATCATTAGTGTAAAGGGTGAAAAGAACAGAAGATATTACACAGCCTTGTGGTGCACCAGTGTTGGTGGTCCATTTACTCGATACAGCCCCGTTAACTTTCACGTACTGCTGTCTGTCCACAAGAAAGTTTTCGATCCACTGTTCGATAGGTCTGTTGTCATAAATACACTATGTATTTTACTTCCTGCTGCTACAGTGGTCATTCCAGGACCACAGTTAAAATGTGTATGAATCCAGGCAAAGTTACTTGCCTAATTAGACACCAAATATGCTTCAGTTACTGTGACTGAAGCTCAAGAAGCTCTCAGGGGTCAACTGCAAAAATCGGTCACCCATCAAACTAGTTTCTGTAACTAATTTTGATTAGTTTCACCTGATTTGTTGCCTATGTGCTGTATAATGACAGAACCATGTGCAACCACATGCCTCCACATTCATGCCTGTTATCTCCAATATGCACATGTAGAGAGAAAACCGTGAATCTTGTACATATCTCACTGTGCATAACTCACCAGACTATCTGCAGCATCAGTACTTTCTTGGTTTTGATTGGCTAGGTGGAACATTGCCAGGGGAACAGAGAACGCAAAGTTGGGCAACTGGGTCAGGTTCCGATGCGCCTGCAAATCACACATTCCAATGTAAATACCATAGCACTGTAGCTCACCAGGGTATGTTGTCAAGACTTTGAAATGTCAGCTAACAGTGTGACAGTGAGTGAAAGAGTGAGTGAGTAAGGTATATGGTGAAACAAGGTGGCACTTAACCAGTAGGCTACCTCACCCTAGCCCCTATAGCCAAAAGAATTATGGTTTCCCATAGTTACAGATTTCTAGAATATGAGGTAAATGTTTTCAAGAAACTAATTTCTCACTAGTTTATATTTTCATATGCCAACACAGTGAACTCTCTTGGTAGGCAAGTTTACCTTTAACTTGTATCATAAGGACTCACAGCTTGAGTGTGGATATACCTAGAACACTTTGATTTGAAAAATAATTGAAAATAGAAAAAAAACATAATACTTCCTGCATCTTAAAAGCAAATTGTAGATAATCAAAAATTAATTCATTGCAGCTAAAAGAACTCAAAAACTGAAAAGAGGGTCACCTATTGCCCTAAAGATCCAGTGTGTCTAAGCATCTTTAAGTACCCGGCTTTCTAAATCAACTCACCTCCCACTCATGGTACATCCTGATGAGGAAGCTGAACTGTTCAGCTCGCAGTGCATAGAAGTCAATCATCAGCAGCACACACATAGGGTCACCATCAGGGTCCAAGCTGTAATATCATGTGTGACCTCATTCAATCAACAGTGAAAAATATAACATGAACCTAGAAACATATTTAAGTTTTAATTCAAGAGAATTTGTTTGTTTGTTGTTTAATGCTGCTCACAACTATATTCCAGCTATATCGGAGAGGCCTGTAAATAATCAAATCTAGACAAGACAGTGAGTCATTTCATGAGTTAAGATCGACATTACAAGACAAACAAAGATTTTACCAATTTTTACACCCATTCTAGTAGGAACATAGTACATTCAAAACAAATATGTACCAAATTCCAGATTTTAAATAGGGCAATATATTCAACATTATAGAAATCTTTTCATTTGAAAGGAATAATACCACACTTTTGAAAAAAGAATAATAGAAATGTACATGAAAAACTCATTGTCTTCCTTTTGTAGATCACTTACCACTGGATGTCACAAAAATAGTAAACAGCTAAATATAAAGAGAGCTTGTTAAAAAAAGCATACAAATATATGTTGTGTACAATTTTGACACATCATGGTAATAGATTCAGGTTCGGTTAAACTGATTCCTGTTCAAATCCTCTCTGTATCCTTTCTCAATGACGAAATAACACCTACCTGAGAAGAAGTTTACAGAACTCCAGAGCAGTCCTGTTGCACCCCCTCTGTCCAACTGACGATAGATGGCGGCACAGGCACAGGTACATTGCCCTGTAGACATACAAACATCATACAACTTGTACAGTGTAGACATACAAACATTGTATAGTTAGTTGAGTAGACACACAAACATCATACAGCTTGTACAGTGTAGACATACAAACATTGTATAGATTGTTCAGTAGACACACAAACATCATATAGCTTGTTCAGTAGACACACAAAAGTCATATAGCTTGTTCAGTAGACACACAAACATCATATAGCTTGTTCAGTAGACACACAAACATCATATAGCTTGTTCAGTGTAGACATACAAACATTGTATAGTTAGTTGAGTAGACACACAAACATCATACAGCTTGTACAGTGTAGACATACAAACATTGTATAGCTTGTCCAGTAGACACACAAACATCATATAGCTTGTTCAGTAGACACACAAACATCATATAGCTTGTTCAGTAGACACACAAACATCATATAGCTTGTTCAGTAGACACACAAACATCATATAGCTTGTTCAGTAGACACACAAACATCATATAGCTTGTTCAGTAGATATACAAACATCACATAGCTTGTTCAGTAGACACACAAACATCACATAGCTTGTTCAGTAGATATACAAACATCATATAGTTTGTTCAGTAGACACACAAACATCATATAGCTTGTTCAGTAGACACACAAACATCATATAGTTAGTTGAGTAGACACACAAACATCATATAGCTTGTTCAGTAGACACACAAACATCATATAGCTTGTTCAGTAGACACACAAACAGCTTGTTCAGTAGACATACAAACATCATATAGCTTGTTCAGTAGACACACAAACATCATATAGCTTGTTCAGTAGATATACAAACATCACATAGCTTGTTCAGTAGACACACAAACATCACATAGCTTGTTCAGTAGACATACAAACATCATATAGTTAGTTGAGTAGACACACAAACATCACATAGCTTGTTCAGTAGACACACAAACATCATATAGTTAGTTCAGTAGACACACAAACATCATATAGTTTGTTCAGTAGACACACAAACATCATATAGCTTGTTTCAGTAGACACACAAACATCACATAGCTTGTTCAGTAGACACACAAACATCATATAGCTTGTTCAGTAGACATACAAACATCATATAGTTTGTTCAGTAGACACACAAACATCACATAGCTTGTTCAGTAGACACACAAACATCACATAGTTTGTTCAGTAGACACACAAACATCACAGCTTGTTCAGTAGACATACAAACATCACATAGCTTGTTCGGTAGACACACAAACATCATATAGCTTGTTCAGTGGACATACAAACATCATATAGCTTCAGTAGACACACAAATGTCATGTTTGTTCAGTAGACACACAAACATCACATAGCTTGTTCAGTAGACACACAAACATCACATAGCTTGTTCAGTAGACATACAAACATCATATAGCTTGTTCAGTAGACATACAAACATCATATAGCTTGTTCAGTAGACATACAAACATCATATAGTTTGTTCAGTAGATATACAAACATCACATAGCTTGTTCAGTAGACACACATACATCACACAGCTTGTTCAGTAGACATACAAACATCATATAGCTTGTTCAGTAGACATACAAACATTGTATAGCTTGTTCAGTAGACACACAAACATCATATAGTTCTTTCAGTAGACCCGTGAAGATCCGGGGTAGAATAGGTCTTCAGCAACCCATGTGCTTGCCATAAAAAGGCGACTATCTTGTCGTAAGAGGCGACTAACGGGATCGGGTGGTCAGGCTCTCTGACTTGGTTGACACATGTCATCGGTTCCCAATTGCGCAGATCGATGCTCATGCTGTTGATCACTGGATTGTCTGGTCCAGACTCGATTATTTACAGACCGCCGCCATATAGCTGGAATATTGCTGAGTGCGGCGTAAAACTAAACTCACTCACTCACTCACTCACTTTCAGTAGACATACAAACATCACATAGCTTGTTCAGTAGACACACAAACATCACATAGCTTGTTCAGTAGACACACAAACATCATATACAGTCAAATCCCGATGAGTCGAATGCCGGTGTCTTGAATATTATGCATAACTCGAAGTACCTGTCGGTCCCGACCATTCCCTGTTATAGTTGTCATCATTTGATTACCGGTTACACGAATTCATCTCATAAATACACACGATGACTCGAAAAGGAAATTTGGTCCCATGAGATTCAAACAACAGTAATCTTGTATACATAAGCCGAAGTCAGTCAATGAGAAGTTAATTGGTGTAGCTAACTGAACCAATTAACAAACCAGCGCAGCTCACACCTTTCCGCTATTGTCGGGTGAGTTCAAAAGGCAGATTAGTGATTTTACGGAAACGGACGAATTAGCACATGACATTGAGTTAACTCAATCAAATCGGTTGCTTTATATAGCAGCTTTCATTTGGTTATTACTATTCATGATCTGTATATCGTGGCGGAGTAACAATGTTCCCAGCAATCTGGCCAAGAACCCAGTCTAAATCCTGGGGGGATAACCAGATCGGAAACATCAACTCCAAACGTAAGCCCATTCTAAAAGTGCACACTATTGACAAGAAGTTTGCAGCGATCACTGCAGTGGAGGCAGGTACCAAATCCAAGAGTGAAATTGCGAGAGAGTTTGAAATTCCACCTAGCACTCTTTCTACTTGGTTGAAATGAACATTTTTCCCACTTGGCAAGCGTCCGGGAATTTGTGGATAAATGTAAGGGAAATTCACAGAAACAAACATTAATGTCAGACTTTTTCCAGAAGTGAGTTCGTCTTTTTGAAGTAACAAGATTCCAGATGGCGCCAAGTATATCTAACGATTGCCGATAGATTTTGTTCACGGATTTTAAGAGGTACATGTATTTTGTATTTCATTGTGCTAGTATTGAAACGTGTTCTCATTTATATACTGTTTGTTTCCATTATCTATGTCACCTAATGTATTGTTGTGCTATATTTTGATATGATGTGCTGAATAAAGGAAATGTTCAATATTCGATCAACTTTTTTTTTCTACCCTCATAGACATACCTATGTCTCGAATACATTGATAAGTCGAATTTATTACTTGGTCCCCAGCGATTCGACTCATCGGGATTTGACTGTAGTTTGTTCAGTAGACCATACAACGTAAACAGTAGACATAGACATCACACAGCTTGTTCAGTGGACATGTAAACTTCATACAACCTGTTTAGTAGACATACAAACACATATCTTGTTTGGTGGACATACAAACATCATACAGCTTGTTTAGTGCACATAGAAAAAACAATACAACTTGTTCAGTGGACATACAATTATCACATAACTTGTTCAGTGGACATACAAACATTATACAGTTTGTTCAGATGAAACACAAACACCATACAGATTACTTCTTACCCATACATAGTTTATTCAGCAAGTTCATCACATATATACAAGCTTTGGAAAGCCAATTCTTACATTATCGAGACAGTTTAACTCTTAGTCTTATTACAAGTACCTGTTCTCCTGCCTCCTGAAGTCAAGCCTGCAGGTGCCGGTTGTCATGCTGAAGGACGGATGGAACGTGTGTTCAAATGCATACAATGCTCTCTCTGTAATGAACAGTAATGTATACTTAAAATAATGAACAAATTCAAGCACATTTTGATGCAGTTTCAAATTCAAGGACTACCTGTGCAAAAGATGGACAGATATAGGAAGAAATCTAGTACCAGTCCATATTGCTCTGAACACTGATGAAAAGGAAGGTCAATTGTTTTTCACTGGAAGCCAAAAGCACTCAGTGGTTTCCCATGTGAAGGAAATGTGTTTTCAAATTGTCAGAATTTTCCATTTTGTCTCAAAAAAGGATTAGCAATGTTAAAACACAAAGGCATTTAACTGAGCCGCAGCCTGAGATTCATGGCCATGATGACAGTGTATCTGTTTATCCTATTGTGGATCACCTTCCTAATTAATTAACAGTCTGTCTTCATGTGGCATGTCTGCAGATAGCAGTGGGTACACCACTACACCTTTGAATGACTATGTGCAACTTCATTGGTCTTGATGTCGCCTGGATTAATATTACCAGTAGTTGTAGAACAGACAACTAATTTGGATCAGTTGCTCAAGCTTGGTTGACATGGTAGATAATGGCTGATACCATGACAACATTGGATGCTGCTCTTATATCAACCACTGGTCTGAATACAGAACTACAGTTGGAATACAGAAAATGTTAACAAACCACACACCTTAGTTACATAATACTTTGAAACGCCTTACCAACAAGCTCAGCGGCCATCTGCATATCTTCACTCATCTTGAAGACATCACTTAGCTGGATGAGTCCATTGATGTGGTAGGGGTGCATCTGCAGCAAATTCTGTACAAACACAAAACATTCAGTGTCTCAAGGAGCCATGACTGTGCTGGGAAACTGCTGGGTGACTAAAATATTGTAACATAACTGAAGCAAATGCTTTCATTGTCAACTGAAGAAATGATGCCAAAGTAACATCGATCTGTAGTAGCATCGGTGAAACCTAAAATTATTGGTGCCATCTGGAAAGTCATGCATCTGCTCTGGGATTTTTGTTCCAAGAAGAAATATATGAAACAATACTTGTGAGAACGGCAGCAGGTTAAAAGTTTCTGTTGAGACTGTGATTCATAGAAGTATGTACCAGGAGTATGCAGTGTTAGTTTGTTGTTTAACGGAGCACTCAGCAATATTCCAGCTATATGGCGGCAATCTGTAAATAAGAGTCTGGACTAGATAATCCAGTGATAAATGGAATGAGCATGGATCTATGTAATTGGGATACAATGACATGCTGCAGTAAAGGCAGAGTTATTCTGTCAAATGACCCCATCCCTTTCCACTATGCCTGCGACTTACAGCAATGTTCTGTGGGTTGAGTGATTCCACTGCTTCCAGGAATTTGAACTCAGTCTGCTGGTATTGGTGATTATGTTCAAATGAAAACAGTTGACAGTTTGGACGGTTGTCTAGAAGTGACATAGATAATCCTGAAAACAGAAACAATGTTGACTTTGTTATCAAAAGCGTGGGTTCATACTGGCCTAGTTACAGGTATAAGGTCAGTAACATTGACCCAATGCAGCCTGCCGGAGGTGCTATATAACTGATCAAAGACCTATCACATGGCCAATATGAAAACACACAACTAATGACACATTTATTAATGAACAATCTGAACAATCTGTTTAAAAATTGTACAGGAAAAATAAAAATAGTATGGCAAGAATGTCCCAATCAGTTATCTATTGTCTAGTTGTGCTTGTATAAGGATTACAATATAGCTTTCCAAAGCTGTATTGCTGAGGCTAAACTGGACTGATCTGTGCAAATCCTGTAAAACTCATATTGCTAGTGCTTCTATATGATGCAGGCAAATTTGAGCTTGTTACTGTAGCTGGCTTCAATATTCCAGGTACGAGTGAGTGAAGCATTCAGACTTGCATTTATATATATCTGATTTCTTTGTCATGAATAAAAGTTAAATTGCCAGTTCCTAATACAACTTAGAGAGGCCATCTCAATATATTGTGTAGTTTTTAAACACCATGGCATCTTCATGGAAAAATTAGTACAAAAAGAAATATTTGTTGTGTGTTGGGCCTTTGTTCTCAAAGGCCCAACCTATAACAATCAAGATCTAAAGACAAACTGCCACTTATCATGATGTATTTCATGCTAATAGATCCAAGCAGCTTTGGAACAGACTTAGTAACACATTATTGTTTTAACTGAATAATTGATCAAGTTCAAAACTGTTCTAAAAACTAACCCATCATCAAGGCCAAGGTTAGCGCTGTGAGTAGTAACCTTGAGGATTTCTTCATTATCCTATCATATTACCTGTTCTTCCAATCGCTGGCCAGTTGTCTCGAGGCTGGACCAGCTTTGTTCCTCTATGGAAAGTTCTATGTCTTCCTCTCTGCCGACTTTTTATTTGGGGAGAGACATTTATCAGATCATTTTTTATCATAATTTCATAGTAGTATTTTGAATCAAACAACCAAACATTCAAACATTACTTAAAGTTACAACTCTTTGTAGCCATGGCAGCTTAGATGGAAAAAGAGTGAGTGAATGAGTTTAGTTTTACGCCGATTATAGCAATATTCCAGCAATATCACAGCAGGAACACCAGAAATGGATTTCACACATTGTACCCATGTTGGGAATAGAACCTGGGTCTTCAGCATGACGAACAAATACTTTAACCATGAGGCTACACCACCGAGGTATTATGATAATGTTTTTGTTATCAATATAACAGTAAAATCCGAACAAAATCAAACGTATAATTTAAAAACCAAAATACATTGACCATTTCTACCTGCTAATACTCACAAGCATCTGCATACCTTTCTAGAGAACTGAAGCTATTAAAGTGAAATAGTTTGAGCGGAGAACATTCTCATTGTATATGAATTCCAGATGAAACTACTTGACTCACTTTGTTTCTTGTTGAACTACCCTGGAACCAAATATCCTCCTCATTTCATTGTCAGGATTTAGATTCCTGTTGACAAGAGAGAAAATCACAATCAATAATGGTCATGTCAAGTCAATGCTGTATACATCATAAACATATCTAGTCAGTAAACTATGTTTATAACTAACATGCGTATAATGAATTGATGCATATAACACAATGTTTTGTAATCCTGGCCACTTGCTGTATGTTCAAGATATTTTTATGGATTAAGCTTCTTTTTAATTTAATTTAAATTAAAAAGAAGTTTAATCCATAAAAATATCTTGGACATCAATGTACAACTTCTAAATGCCACTGAAAGACACTTGCTGTATGTTTTTGACAAAATGTGTATAATGAACTATGGTTAGAATGTAATAAACTTAGTGGTCCCCTTGAGTTTAGTTTACTGTATTTGTATTTACTGTTCTGCCTTGTTTGGTTCAAGATACCCATGAAGATCCGGAAGAGATGGTCTTCAGTAACCCATGCTTGTCATAAGGACGACTAACGGGATCGGGTGGTCAGGCTCACTGACTTGGTTGACACATATCACTGCGTTGAACGAAGCTCATGAATTTGATCACTGGATTGTCTGGTCCAGACTCGATTATATACAGATCGCCGCCATATAGCTGCAATATTGCTGAGTGCAGGATTAAACAACAGACCAAGAAACTAATCAGATTGGTCCAAGATAATGACAGCAGTGGGACTTATTCTGACCTAGAATCCACACATGGTTCCATGTGTCTTGTTTCTACATTCAACAGTGCCCGCATGTCACTGGTTATCGTGTCTACCACCACCATGTGTCTTGTTTCCTTACCTGTGTTCCACATATGGCAGTGCCCGCATGTCATTGGTTATTGTGTCTACCACCACTAGGTGTCTTGTTTCCTTACCTGTGTTCCACATTTAGCAGTGCCCGCATGTCGCTGGTTATGGTGTCTACCACCACCAGGTGTCTTGTTTCCTTACCTGTGTTCCACATTTAGCAGTGCCCGCATGTCATTGGTTATTGTGTCTACCACCACTAGGTGTCTTGTTTCCTTACCTGTGTTCCACATTTAGCAGTGCCCGCATGTCATTGGTTATTGTGTCTACCACCACTAGGTGTCTTGTTTCCTTACCTGTGTTCCACATTTAGCAGTGCCCGCATGTCACTGGTTATCGTGTCTACCACCACCATGTGTCTTGTTTCCTTACCTGTGTTCCACATATGGCAGTGCCCGCATGTCATTGGTTATTGTGTCTACCACCACTAGGTGTCTTGTTTCCTTACCTGTGTTCCACATTTAGCAGTGCCCGCATGTCATTGGTTATCGTGTCTACCACCACCAGGTGTCTTGTTTCCTTACCTGTGTTCCACATTTAGCAGTGCCCTCATGTCGCTGGTTATCGTGTCTACCACCACCAGCTGTCTTCTTTCCTTACCTGTGTTCCACATTTAGCAGTGCCCGAATATCACTGGTTATCGTGTCTACCACTACCAGGTGTCTTGTTTCCTACCTGTGTTCCACATATAGCAGTGCCCGCATGTCATTGGTTATCGTGTCTACCACCACCAGGTGTCTTGTTTCCTACCTGTGTTCCACATATGGCAGTGCCCGCAAGTCATTGGTTATCGTGTCTACCACCACTAGGTGTCTTGTTTCCTTACCTGTGTTCCACATTTAGCAGTGCCCGCATGTCGCTGGTTATCGTGTCTACCACCACCAGGTGTCTTGTTTCCTACCTGTGTTCCACATTTAGCAGTGCCCGAATATCACTGGTTATCGTGTCTATCAGCAACAGCTGTCTTGTTTCCTACCTGTGTTCCACATTTAGCAGTGCCCGCATGTCGCTGGTTATCGTGTCTACCACCACCAGGTGTCTTGTTTCCTACCTGTGTTCCACATTTAGCAGTGCCCGAATATCACTGGTTATCGTGTCTATCAGCACTAGGTGTCTTGTTTCCTACCTGTGTTCCACATTTAGCAGTGCCCGAATATCACTGGTTATCGTGTCTACCACCACCAGGTGTCTTGTTTCCTACCTGTGTTCCACATTTAGCAGTGCCCGAATATCACTGGTTATCGTGTCTATCATCAACAGGTGTCTTGTTTCCTACCTGTGTTCCACATATAGCAGTGCCCGAATATCACTGGTTATCGTGTCTACCACCACCAGGTGTCTTGTTTCCTACCTGTGTTCCACATTTAGCAGTGCCCGCAAATCACTGGTTATTGTGTCTACCACCACCAGGTGTCTTGTTTCCTTACCTGTGTTCCACATTTAGCAGTGCCCGCATGTCACTGGTTATCGCGTCTACCACCACCAGGTGTCTTGTTTCCTTACCTGTGTTCCACATTTAGCAGTGTGCCGCATGTCATTGGTTATCGTGTCTACCAGCACCAGGTGTCTTCTTTCCTTACCTGTGTTCCACATTTAGCAGTGCCCGCATGTCACTGGTTATCGTGTCTACCACCACTAGGTGTCTTGTTTCCTTACCTGTGTTCCACATTTAGCAGTGCCCGCATGTCATTGGTTATTGTGTCTACCACCACCAGGTGTCTTGTTTCCTTACCTGTGTTCCACATTTAGCAGTGCCCGCATGTCACTGGTTATTGTGTCTACCACCACCAGGTGTCTTGTTTCCTTACCTGTGTTCCACATTTAGCAGTGCCCGCATGTCACTGGTTATTGTGTCTGTTCCACATTTAGCTTGCCCCAGACATGTCAGGTGTCTTGTTTCTTGTTTACCTGTGTTCCACATATAGCAGTGCCCGTGATGTCATTGGTTATTGTGTCTACCACCACTAGGTGTCTTGTTTCCTTACCTGTGTTCCACATTTAGCAGTGCCCGCATGTCACTGGTTATTGTGTCTACCAGCACCAGGTATCTTGTTTCCTTACCTGTGTTCCACATTTAGCAGTGCCCGCATGTCACTGGTTATTGTGTCTACCACCACCAGGTGTCTTGTTTCCTACCTGTGTTCCACATTCAACAGTGCCCGCATATCACTGGTTATCGTGTCTACCACCACCAGGTGTCTTCTTTCCTTACCTGTGTTCCACATTTAGCAGTGCCCGCATGTCACTGGTTATCGCGTCTACCACCACCAGGTGTCTTGTTTCCTTACCTGTGTTCCACATTTAGCAGTGCCCGCATGTCATTGGTTCTCGTGTCTACCAGCACCAGGTGTCTTCTTTCCTTACCTGTGTTCCACATTTAGCAGTGCCCGCATGTCACTGGTTATCATGTCTACCAGCACCAGGTGTCTTCTTTCCTTACCTGTGTTCCACATTTAGCAGTGCCCGCATGTCATTGGTTATTGTGTCTACCACCACTAGGTGTCTTGTTTCCTTACCTGTGTTCCACATTTAGCAGTGCCCGCATGTCACTGGTTATTGTGTCTACCAGCACCAGGTATCTTGTTTCCTTACCTGTGTTCCACATATAGCAGTGCCCGCATGTCATTGGTTATCGTGTCTACCAGCACCAGGTGTCTTGTTTCCTTACCTGTGTTCCACATTTAGCAGTGCCCGCATGTCACTGGTTATTGTGTCTACCACCACCAGGTGTCTTGTTTCCTTACCTGTGTTCCACATTTAGCAGTGCCCGCATGTCACTGGTTATTGTGTCTACCAGCACCAGGTATCTTGTTTCCTTACCTGTGTTCCACATATAGCAGTGCCCGCATGTCATTGGTTATTGTGTCTACCACCACTAGGTGTCTTGTTTCCTTACCTGTGTTCCACATTTAGCAGTGCCCGCATGTCACTGGTTATTGTGTCTACCAGCACCAGGTATCTTGTTTCCTTACCTGTGTTCCACATTTAGCAGTGCCCGCATGTCACTGGTTATTGTGTCTACCACCACCAGGTGTCTTGTTTCCTACCTGTGTTCCACATTCAACAGTGCCCGCATATCACTGGTTATCGTGTCTACCACCACCAGGTGTCTTCTTTCCTTACCTGTGTTCCACATTTAGCAGTGCCCGCATGTCACTGGTTATCGCGTCTACCACCACCAGGTGTCTTGTTTCCTTACCTGTGTTCCACATTTAGCAGTGCCCGCATGTCATTGGTTCTCGTGTCTACCAGCACCAGGTGTCTTCTTTCCTTACCTGTGTTCCACATTTAGCAGTGCCCGCATGTCACTGGTTATCATGTCTACCAGCACCAGGTGTCTTCTTTCCTTACCTGTGTTCCACATTTAGCAGTGCCCGCATGTCATTGGTTATTGTGTCTACCACCACTAGGTGTCTTGTTTCCTTACCTGTGTTCCACATTTAGCAGTGCCCGCATGTCACTGGTTATTGTGTCTACCAGCACCAGGTATCTTGTTTCCCTTACCTGTGTTCCCACATATAGCAGTGCCCATGTCATTGGTTATTGTGTCTACCACCACTAGGTGTCTTGTTTCCTTACCTGTGTTCCACATTTAGCAGTGCTCGCATGTCACTGGTTATTGTGTCTACCAGCACCAGGTATCTTGTTTCCTTACCTGTGTTCCACATTTAGCAGTGCCCGCATGTCACTGGTTATTGTGTCTACCACCACCAGGTGTCTTGTTTCCTACCTGTGTTCCACATTCAACAGTGCCCGCATATCACTGGTTATCGTGTCTACCACCACCAGGTGTCTTGTTTCCTTACCTGTGTTCCACATATGGCAGTGCTCGCATATCACTGGTTATCGTGTCTACCACCACCAGGTGTCTAGTTTCCTACCTGTGTTCCGCATATGGCAGTGCCCGCATATCACTTGTTATCGTGTCTACCACCACCAGGTGTCTTGTTTCCTTACCTGTGTTCCACATATGGCAGTGCCCGCATATCACTGGTTATTGTGTCTACCAGCACCAGGTGTCATGTTTCCTACCTGTGTTCCACATTTAGCAGTGCCCGCATGTCACTGGTTATCGTGTCTACCACCACCAGGTGTCTTGTTTCCTTACCTGTGTTCCACATTTAGCAGTGCCCGCATATCACTGGTTATCGTGTCTACCACCACCAGGTGTCTTGTTTCCTTACCTGTGTTCCACATATGGCAGTGCC